CCAGATCATTTCTGTTTGAAACTGGAGAAAAACCTGGGCTGGACTTTCACGGCCCTGCAACAAATGCAATACAATGAAAAATAAAACAGGAAGTTTGGCACTGCAGCGATGGCAGTCGGGGAAAAGAAAATGGAAAACTGCTGGAACCGAACTGTACGGGATGTTACCAAAATCAGATTATGCGAAGAAGAGACAAATATATTAGGGAGTATATAAAAGAGGAAAGCTAATACCTTCAAATTATATTGGTCAACCCTCCGGTCAACCCAGCAAACTGAAACCCGAAGCCAAACAAGCAGCAAGCAACGATGAACAGGGACGTTGTTCCCTATCCCGCTCCTCCAAAACAAGCAGCAAGAAAGGAGAAGCCTCCATATCCGATCGTCCCACTGCACCGCCGCGAAACTGACGCCGTCCTGTGAAATCGCTGAAGTTTCATCGGAGAAGAAGAACCGTGTAGGTTCTAGATGAAATCGGAGACCGCCAACCTTTCCTCTGCGACCTTCTGTGCCGGCGTGCACCTAGTTGGAGCAGAATCATCGCCTGGATGGGTGCGCGAAGATGAAAACCCGGCTGCGGCACTCAACGGTGAAGAAGATGAAGACCAGAGGCCGAAATCGTAGCAAAGCTGAAGAAGAAATCAATTAAAGGGGGTGTATTGTATTAGGAATTAGTGGCAAAATTTTAAAAGTCCATAGATTTTAAAAGTTTAGGTGTATTCAATGTGGACTTTTAAAAGTCCACAAAAGTCTAGGTGTATTCAATGCGGACTTTTAAAAGTCTATAAAAGTTAGGCGTATTCAAATTTCCGTTCATTCTTATTGACTTCTAAAATCATGGATTCTCGTAGACTTTTAACTCATTTTTAGTGCAAAAATTCTCTGCAATTGTCTCTTCTCCTCACCAAAGATTTCCGTGGACTTTTCTTATATCGGTTCTTCATCCTGTCCCACCTCATCCCCCCCCCCCCCCCTAGGGATGGACCGGGCCCGACCCAGTTTCGGTTCCGAGTCGGGCCCGGCCGGGCTTGGAATTTTTTGGGTAAGGCCCGGGACCGGCCCGGGAGTCTACTGGTACCGGGCCGGGCCAGTTCCGGGCTGGGTCGGGCTGGTTCATTTTTTTTTTGGGTTTTCTTATATATTCCAACCCTCACCCCCCAAACCCCTCCAAAACACCCAACGCAGCCTACCTACCATAGGCCCAAACCCAAAAAAAAACAAAAAAAAAACAAAAATAAGGCCCGGATTGGGCCCGAACCGGCCGGACTGGTCCTCAAATATGCAGTCCTGGAATCGCCGCAATTAACCCCCCGGGTCAGGCCTAGGCCCGATACCGGTACCGATCCATCGGGTCGGGCTTCATTTATTTTTGTAGAACTTTGTGTTGCTATATGATTTACATTTTTTTCATTTATTTATTTATCTATTTATTTATTTATTTATTTATTTATTTATTTATTTATTTATTTATTTATTTATTTATTTATTTATTTATTTATTTATTTATTTATTTATTTATTTATTTATTTATTTATTTACTTATTTATTTCTTATCGTACTCCGTATTATATAGAGGAAATCACTTACGGTAGGACTAAAACATAGCATTATTCTTAAAGTATGATTAAATGTTTGATTTTTCTTAAATAGGAATAAATGTTATATATTCACCCTTAATTTAATTAATTAATTAATTAATTAATTAATATAACTAATTGTCCCTAGCTCCCTTTCACACCCAAAGCCATTTTGTTGGTGATGCGTCAGTCATCACAGTGGGGAACTCCGTGATGGAGGCGGACAGGTCACATGCATATCGATAGTGACAATTTAGGTTAAAATTTTGACGACCAGCAGTGGCGGTCCGCATTTAAAAGTCTATGGACTTTTTGAAAGTCAATAAATTTATCCATGAATTTAAAAGTCCATAGAATTCATTCATAAAAAAGTCTATGGATTTAAAAGTCCATTGACTTTTTTAAAAGTCCATGGATTAAAAAAAGTCCATAACAATCTATATTGAATACACCCCCCTAAGTCTTGCTATAGAGACTTTGTCCGGCCATAGGGATTTGGGGCGGTTCCTTTTGAAATTTTGTGATGAAATTTTTCGAGCATCTTATTCATCAAGTCTAGTTTACTCATATCAAATTTAAGCTAAAAATTCAATCGGGAACACATTCAAATTAATTCTTGAAGATAACTGCGCATTTTGCGTTCTCGAATTAATTTGAATGTGTTCTCCATTGAATTTTTAGCTGAAATTTGGTATGAGTTAACTAGACTTGATGAATAAGATGTTCAAAAAATTTCATCAAAAAATGCCACCGGGAACCGCCCCAAATCGCGACGGTCGGACAGAGTCTCCTATAGAAGGACTTAATTGACTTTTTTATGATAGTTCGAGGACCTATTTGACATTTTACCCTTTTATAAACACCTATTACTTTTTTTCTTTTAAAATCTTTTCAATTATTAAAAGAAACAAGTACATGGATATTACGACTGGACTTTCTACTAATCCCAAAAATATCGCCCTTTTCCAATTTTCCCAAAAAGTCAACGCCCCTTTTTACGATGAAAACAGATCTGCGCAGCTATCTCTTCCAGCCAAAGGAGACCAACCGAAGATCTTCTAGCGCACTCAGCGATGGCAATCGGCCATCAATCTCCTGACATCTCTTCCAGTACCGGTGAGTGAGGACGAGAGCTTGACGATCGACGCCGCCCCTCAGCCTCGCCTCGCCGCACAGACCGTTGCCTCTCCGTCACACCTCACCGCATATGCCACCGTTTTTGTGCCTCACCTCGCCTTACCTCTCCGCATCGCCTTGCCTTACCTTGTCGCGCCTCCTTTCACCTTGAATGGAAGGAGTGTGAGATCTGAAATGGCGACCATTAAGCGGCCAGATCTAGGGGAAGGCGGCGGCTAGGGTTCATTGGCGGGTGGTTGGGGCAGGGCAGGGCTGTCAAAGGTGAGGCTGGGAGGGGTGGATTGGGGGTGGTCGGAGTTGGTTTGCGGCAGCGTTTGGGTGGGAGTGATGGAGGTGAGGTTGGGCTGAGAGGGGACTGGGTGTTGATAGTAAAGTTAGGGTGCGGCGGCGGTTGGGTACGTAGGTGATGTTGGTGCTGATTGGGTTGGGAAGGTCTGCTGAAGACGTGACTGGCTACTAGGAAGGGTGTTGTGGACTCTGGAGGGAGCTATGGCAGGCAGGTGCAGGTAAAGGGGAGGGGAGGGTGCAGTTGGAGGGTGGTGCTGCCGCCAGCATGCACTGAGTTGGATGATGTCACTATGGTCGAAGTTGGTGTGTCAATGTGGTGGTGTCACTCTGACTGCGTCATCCAAGACAGTGTCATTGTGACGGTGTCACCGAAGATGATGTCAGTGACGGTGTCACCGGAGACGATGTCACTGTGCCGGTTGTCACGGTAGGCGATGTCACTATGGCCGCAGTGACACGGGCGGTGGTCGCAGTGACACGGGCGGTGGTCGCAGTGACACGGGCGGTGGTCGCAGTGACACGGGCGGTGGGCGCAGTGACACGGGCGGTGGGCGCAGTGACACGGGCGGTGGCCGCAGTGACACGGGCGGTGGCCGCAGTGACACTGGCGATGGCGGCAGTGACATTTGATAGTGACATTAAAACATGATAGTGACATTAAAATCTGGGAATGACATTAATATGACCCTCTTGATCACTTTTTTGTCCCTTTTTAAAAGTGGTCACTTTTTTGGTGATTGGTTCAAAATTAGTAATATTCAAGTACAAACCCCTTATTAAAATTTAAGAATTACTAAATTGAAAGAATGGTGTTAATATTAGCGTTGATGTTTGGACTTCCCAAAATGTGACCATATTTCGTATTTCCCAAAATGTAACTTGTCCTTCTTCTCCATCGGTTCCTTCCATTTCCCAACTTATTCTCCATCAGCTCCCTGGCCACATCTTCTCACCTCCTGATTTCTCCCTAAGGCTTCGATGACTCATCTTCCTCTCTCGCACATCTACAACAGTGTTCTCCTCTGCGCCGATATCTCCCGGTGTGGCTCCATCTCCATCATCGGCGCCGACTCCACGCTCATCTCCATTACCACCACCGTCATAGTCTACTTCACCATCATTCCATCACCAACATTTTTCTTCTCCTACTCTATCTTTCCAATGGCTAATAGGTTTAGATTCTCCCCAACCTTATTCAGATCTCGATTGATGCGAATCTGAAAGAAGGTTATGAAATCAGGGGAAGAAAATCGCTCCCAGCAGCAATGAATCTGAGCAGCGTCGACCGGAGGTGGAACGATGGCTACACCTTGGTTGATGGCTGGGATTTTTGGGTAGGGTGGGTGGTGAGGTATGGGGTAGACCCTGAACAGATCTGGAGCTCCTGTTCTTTGGAGCTCATTAGGTTAGGGTGGGGCAGGGTAGTGGCAGAAGGCAGGGAGTTGGTGTAAGCAGTGGTGATGGTGGGCGGTGAGACGATTTCGATGGCAATATTCACCGGAAAAATCGCTGGAAAATATTTCTGGCGGGCAAAGTGACATATTTACCTGATAGTGACATTCATTAGTGACATGAGTATATTGCAGTGACGTCTGTTAAGTGACACGAAAATTGACAGTGACATCATGTTTTCCAAAAATATGATTTTCTTAGTCACTTTTTTGTCCATATAAAAAATGGTCACTTTTTTGAAAATTGATTCAAATTTAGTAATATTGAAGGTAAAATCCCTTACTAAAAAGCTAATAAAAAAGTATGTTTTCATGAGTTTTTTCCTAAAGGAGGGTATTTTTTAATCTTATTTCCCAAAAGAATGTACTTTTTAACTTATTTCCCAAACCAGGGTAGTTTTTGCCTTGTCATATGCCATGTCAGTATTTTAATATTATTTTTAATAAAATCGCCACATCACTAATTCCATATCAATTTTTGGGCCACATGGCAATTCCGGACCTCTTTTATACGGAGTATTAATTCTAGCTTTCTAATACTCCGGTATTTATTTAACAACTTAGATTTAGGTCACTTTATATTCACAAAATTAAAAGTCCTTTCTTCACAAATACAATACAAAGCCTTTTATTCCTTCCCGTGTTGAAGTTGTCGAGTCCAGCTAGGTTCTTCGTCGGCTAACCAGGGACGTTTTGTGCTCTTCCGTCCAAATTAACCTGATTTTCCTCCTCCGATTCTCCTCTTTGCAGGTATGTAAATGATTATACAACAAACATGTGTTAATTCGCGGTATCACGTTCTTCTAATCGTTTTGTAAACTTCTTTCTTGAAATTCAGTTCTTACAGCTCATCACGTTCAATTTTATATAGAAATTACAGCTTCTCTTAGTTGTCATATACTCCGTATGATAATGGAGAAAACAGTTTTTTTTATATATCAGCATATCAGTAATTTATTATTCCTTTTTTTTATAGCTTGAAGCATATAATTTTCACTTAGTCTTTTTCGAATATTCTTAGATATTCTCTTTCAAGATTGTGAAAAAATATGCGGAAACCTTTTATTGACTAAAGAAACCGTGTGAGTTGTGACTGCTGAAATTTTGACATATGAATCCTCCTCCTCTGTAGCTCCGGAGAAGAAGAAGGCTGTTCTAAGTTGACTTTGTCTTCTTCAAAGTTCCAGGCAATAAATTCTCCGTTTTCAGGAAATAAATTCTAAGCCCCCTTCTAGCAATCAATCAACGCTCTCCCGGTTTACCTCCCCAACATTTCAACTCCATATTAGGTGAGTCAAGCTACGTTCCTTCGTACGCGGCATATGTATGCGTTCATACCGAAGAAATTTCCCAATTTGCTGCAGTATTTATTTGCAATTTGATCTTGATTTTTCGCATCCAAGTTTTAATTTTTTTCTCAGGCATTAAATTAATTTTTATATCTGAGCTCGTTTTACAGGTAATATATTAGGCTTTCTTGTTTTACGTTGTTCTGTTGTTCCTATGATCTTGTTGTTGGTTTGTCCTATAATTACTCCCTAGTGTTACTGTCCTAGTGTAGAATCTGAATATCTTTATTTTACTACGCGCTTCTGTGAAATCGTTGTTTGATCCAATGTTTGTTTATGTAAGGTTATTTTTCTCTGTGTTTTGGGTAGGGCTGGGAAAAAACTCCCGATCCCGACAATCCCGATCCCGACTAAGTCAGGATGGGACCGGGATCGGGAAAATCCCGACATCCCGACAATATATTCGTAGTATATATATAGAAATATATACACACACACACATACATGTATATAATTATATATGAATATATAAAAAAATGAATATACATTTATAAAAATGAATATGTATCTAAATATTTGCATATCTTTTTTAATTACTTATTCCTTATATAGATTAATCTTTTACTACAAGTATCTTACAATATCAAACTTTTAAAACTATTCGGCATTTGTCCAAAAATGAATACTCGGGATCCTAACTAAATAGAGATTATTCTTGATCCCGACGATCTAAATCACAAAAATATTACAAATTTTGCAGTTCTAATGAACTCTTTAAAAAATCATGATCGAGACTGAGATTTCTTTCTTTAGTAAATAATCATAATATGTATTTATACATTATATTCATTGGTCACAAAGTTTCTCAATGAGTCTACTTAGTTTTGAATTTTAAATAATATACGTTACACATCCTTCTTTTAGTGATTTTTATATAATGTTTGAAGTAAATTTCACTGAGCCTTGATTAAAAAATTATACTATTAATTAATTGAACTTACAAATAAAAATTATTCTAAAAGTATGTACTAGTGTGAATTCGAGATGATGATTATTACAATAAATTTTATAAGTAGATGATGATAAATATGGTATAACAATGAACAAAGAATAATCTTGAAACCACTAAATATCATATTGTTTAACTAAAAAAAATTCATAATTTTATGTTTGATACTTCATTGTCGGGATTTAGCGGGATTAAGCGGAATTCCCGATCGGGATCCCGACTTAATCGGGATTTTAATGTCGGGATTCCGACTTAATCGGGACGGAATACGGGATCCTCTTGTAGTTTGGATCGGGATCGAGACGGGGTCGGGATTTGGGCAATCGGGATCGGGATCCCACCCCTAATTTTTGGGGATTTAAAACAGCTATTTAACCAAAACAGCCAACTAAATCAAAACAGCCAACTAAATCCGTTCTCATCAATGGGACAAAAAGCCAACAGAATCAGCCAACAAACAACCCAAACACCCCTTAGTTTTCTGAAGCGTTGTCATGGTTGAGTAAAGCTAACATCGAACTGCATCCGTCTCCACCTGAAGGTCAACAAGACCCTTCGCCATCGCCAAGTCTGCAGCGTAAATCAAGCTCCTTAATTCCGCTTCCTCGCACGTCTCAGCCTGAATCTTGAAGCAAACTGCCCAAATCAGCTTACCATCCCGATCTCGAAGGATTGCTCCTCCTGTCGCAACTCCAGGTTTATACGAGGCATCAACATTTAGTTTGTATTTAGTCCTTGGTCGTTTCCACTTAATGACCTGGTAGTTGGAATTAATAAATCTAAAGTTGGCAGGAATCAATTGTTCTTGGATAAGATAGGAGTCAATTTTCCTTCGTTTAATTTTGGCCAGCCGATAAGACCACTTGTGAGTGTATTGTTTAATCTGGTAGATGAGATGTTCTGGGGCTGCAATACATCCAGATCCCCAAGTAAAAGAAGCCTAGACCTTCCAAATGTGCCAGCATATGATTCCAGGCAGATTATGTTTGAAGATATCTGCCAAAGTTTTTGAACCAGCCTGAATCCATCAAAGAACGAGTATTTGTCTGATAGAACTCTGGGTAGGAAGTGGTATATCAAAAATCCCCATGAAATGCTGCCAAATTTTCCTAGAATATTCACATCCAAAGAAGATGTGATCTGTATTTTCACCATGAGATTTACAAAGAGGACATCTAGAGGGCCTTAGAACCTGTTGAAATCTATACAGATTATCAGTGATAGGGATATATCTGTTAAGAAGCTTCCATAAAAAAAGTTTAACCTGCATGTGCTGATGCCTATTATGTCAAGGATCTTGTGATTTGGCTTTTTGATTTGTTTGGATCTGAAGTCCGCCCGCTTTAAATTGCAAATACCCCTTTCTGATCTGTTTTTTGCCTTTTACAATTACAAACAGTCCTTTACTACAGCTTAGGCAACTTTAAATTTCCTGTTAAAGCTTGATCTTTGCTGTGATAGCAGTGGAGCACTATCCACCTTGAGCCTCTCTGCTGGACCAAAACAATACGGAGTATTTACTAATTTCCTTTTCTGAAAATTTTCTTTTCCATATTACTGTCGTAAAATCTTTTGACCTTAAGAGGCCCATCTTGCTGAACATAGTAAAATTGTTGGCAGAATTTCTGAAGACAATAAGATCTGAAAGGTTTTAAAGCATAAATTAGAGTTAATACCCTATTTAGCCCCTCGACTATACACTTATTACTCAATTTGGTTCTCGGCTTTCATTTGGACTCAATTTAATCATCCACTAGGCGATTTAGACTCTACTAAATCCTCATTCATGTTTCACTCTAATGAATGAAGGTATTGTTGTACCACTTGAGCCAAATTTTCCTGACTACATTGTTATGCCGAAATTGAGTCATAAGTTGGGCCAAAACTCGGTGAACTGACTAACGTGCATTTAGTGTTTAGATCCCTATATGTATTGAGGACTAAATGGGTCCAATTTTTACAGCTGATACCCAAATCCTGTCTAAACATAATCTGAGAACCAAATTGAGTAATAACATATAGTCGAAGGATGAAATCAAGTAATAACTCTTGAAGATTTTTTCCTTATTAGTTTTTCTGGCAACTTTAGGCCTCTTATAATAAATATGTGTGCTCCAAAATCACAGGTGAAAAAGCATGGCACCGACCCCAACTCGAATTGGCCTTGCTGGCCTAGCTGTAATGGGACAAAACCTTGCACTCAACATAGCCGAGAAAGGGTTCCCGATATCCGTCTACAATAGATCAACCTCAAAAGTCGATGAGACTGTTGAACGAGCCAAAGCAGAAGGTGATCTCCCACTCTACGGTTTTCACGACCCCAAATCCTTTGTTCTCTCCATCCAAAAGCCTCGTGTCATCATTATCCTCGTCAAAGCTGGTTCTCCAGTTGACCAGACCATCAAAACCCTCTCAGCCTACCTGGAGAAAGGAGACTGTATCATCGATGGAGGCAATGAGTGGTATGAGAACACCGAGAGGAGAGAAAAAGAAGCAGCCGAATTGGGCTTGCTTTATCTTGGAATGGGAGTGTCTGGCGGTGAAGAAGGTGCTAGGCAAGGCCCATCACTAATGCCTGGAGGCTCTTTCGAGGCGTACAAGCACATCGAAGACATCCTACTCAAAGTAGCAGCCCAAGTCCCAGACAGCGGGCCATGTGTGACTTACATTGGCAAGGGCGGATCTGGAAACTTTGTTAAAATGGTTCACAATGGTATCGAGTATGGTGACATGCAATTGATTGCCGAAGCATATGATGTTTTGAAATCTGTGGGCAAGCTATCCAACGCCGAATTGCATGAAGTGTTCACGGAGTGGAATAAAGGGGAACTTTTGAGCTTCTTGATTGAGATCACTGCCGATATATTTGGAATCAAGGATGACAAGGCAGACGGGTATTTGGTGGATAAGGTTTTGGATAAAACTGGCATGAAGGGGACCGGGAAGTGGACGGTTCAGCAAGCTGCTGAACTGTCAGTTGCCACCCCGACGATCGCTTCGTCACTGGACTCGAGATTCCTCAGTGGGTTGAAGGAAGAGAGGGTCAAAGCAGCGAAGATATTTAAAGCCGGTGGGATAGGTGATGTCATTGCTGACCAGGTTGTTGTTGACAAGAAACAGCTGATCGATGACGTCAGGAAGGCACTTTATGCTTCCAAGATATGCAGTTATGCACAGGGGATGAACTTGATTCGTGCAAAGAGTGTTGAGAAAGAATGGGATTTGAAACTCGGTGAGCTGGCTCGGATTTGGAAGGGGGGCTGCATTATCCGTGCTATATTTTTGGACCGTATCAAGAAGGCCTATGACAGAAACCCAGATCTTGCCAACCTTCTAGTGGATGAAGAGTTTGCAAAGGAGATAATTGAAAGGCAGTCTGCTTGGAGAAGAGTTGTTTGCCTTGCTATCAGCTCTGGTATTAGTACCCCTGGCATGTCTTCGAGTTTGGCTTATTTTGACTCGTACAGGAGGGAAAGTCTGCCAGCCAATTTGGTCCAAGCTCAGCGGGATTACTTTGGGGCTCATACATACGAGAGGACCGACATGTCGGGTTCCTTCCATACCGAGTGGTTCAAGATTGCCAAACAATCAAAGATTTGATTTTTTTAAGCTCTACACCTTTGTTGAGCTAGACTGATGCTGCTTATGTGCTGAATAAGATTTGTGACCGAAAATGTAAAATTCAGTCATGGAACCATTCGATTATGCTTAATATGTTTGGAATATTTGGAATTTATTGAAGTTTATTTAGTTTTGATAATTATTTGTAAACCAGACCATCTTTTTTCATTTAATAAAATCTTTAAGCATTTCTTTTTTGTTAACTATGCCGTTATAGTTCAAAGTCTCTAACACAGGCATGCATGTAAGCGTTACTTACAACACGCTATACCTGTCCATGGTTTCTGGTTTAACCTGGAGCGTCAGTCTTGAAACTGAAACAGGGGTTTAGCCGTGAGCCCGTGATTCATAAGTCGTAACCGCAGGCTCAAAGCAATCAGTGGTTAGGTTTTCTGAATCAATTCCGATTTGGAGCCAGATCATTTCTGTTTAAAACTGGAGAAAAACCTGGGCTGGACTTGCACGGCCTGCAACAAATGCAATGGAATGAAAAATACAACAGGAAGTTTGGCACTGCAGCGATGGCAGTTGGGGAAAAGAAGATGGAAAACTGCTGAAACCGAACTGGACGTGATGTTACCAAAATCAGTTAAGAACCACCCGTCCTCATACATTCTCCCAAACTGATGTTTCAGTTGCCCAAATTCTTGACTCGGGAACCTGGACCTGTTTGAGTTAAAAACACTTGCTTTTCAGTTTCCGAATGGGGGTGACAAGAATTGATTTCAATCTACCCTGATTCCTTTTTTGTTCTTCAGCTGTTCACATTCAAAACCTTACACTAGTCACTGCAAATGCAAAAAAAGAATTGGAACTAGAGATGCCGGTTCCTATACTATAAAATCAAAACTGGTAACAAAATCTGGAATTCTGGACCCATATGCTTAAATTTTTAATAGAAGGGCAATGAGACACTAAAGAAATTCTTTTTCTAATGCTATATGAGTATCATTTTCATTTTCTAAATAAAGAAAACATTAGTCTTTGGTCTTTTTTCTCCTTATACACTGAAGTTGTACACCAGATTACCAACTTGGGCACTACCTACCCTCAGAGTCACAGGCCTCACAACTCGTTTTCTTTTATCCTCGCAAACATTTGCTGCATTTGCCATAAAGAAATGGATTTTGCTTGTGGTACACAAAATGTGTACACATGTCTGTCCTTCGGAGAAAATTTGTCTGTCACAGACAACTCATAATGAATTGTCTGTGACAGACAAATTTTCTGAGAAGGACAGACATGTGTACACATTTTGTGTACCAAAAGCATTTTCCTAAAGAAATAGTGTATGTGCATTTGTGGGTGAGTTACCTTAGCTATACAAAACATGCCATAAAGCATGATAGTAAGTCGACAACTTACTAGCTCAAATTAGACATAAACAACCCAGACTAGATCAAATCAGACTTCGAAAATTGTAAATTATACATAGAACGAACATCTATTAAATCATATCAGATTTAAATAAACCATATCAGACTAAATAAGAACAGACCAAATCATTCCAAAACAGAAAATTTCAGTCCTATTAAAAGCGTCACTAATTTGCAAACAAACAAAAAACAAGTGCACAAGTGCCCTTTTGAATAGGGATCACCCTACAATTATGGATTAATCTACCCGAATACTTGAAGGTGTTGTAAAGGACTAAAGGAGTGTTTGTGATTGCTTCTACTTTATGAAAGTGATATTTCAAACTAATTTTGGAAAAAATGCTTAATACTCCCTCCGTCCCGCTATGATTGTCCCATTTTACCTTTTCGGTCCGTCCCACTAAGATTGTCCCATAGCTTATTTGGCAAAATTTGTGTCGTTCTAAATCATTCTTACTTTATTCTTACTATATCAATTCAATATCAACCACATAAACCCACTTTTATTAATAATCGTGCCACTTTCTCTTGTCCCAAACTTAGGGGGACGGAGGGTAGTAGTAAAAGTTAGTAGTATTTGAGAAAAAAATGATTTTGTAAAAGTAAAAGTTGATATTATTTGATAAAATGAGTGATTTTTGTGTAATAGAAAAAACAGTTTGAAACACTTCTCAAACTAATTCCATCTTTTAACTTTTAAGTGCTTACTTTATGCATAAACTGTCACTTGAAAACACTAATTTCAACTTTTTTAAAACCAAAAGATGAAAATTACTTTTTATTTTTATTTTTTGCAAACACCCCCCAAAGGTAGGGGTGGGAATAGGTCAGGCGGCCTGTTAGGGGCCTGTCAGGGGCCTATGACTTGGCATGTTTAAGGCCTGGCTTGGGCTTTTCAAAAAGCACGTTTACCTCAATAGGTCAGGCTAGCCCAACTCTAAAGCATTTTTAACTTAACAGGCTGGCCTATTTATGTGTATATATATTTAGTTATATTTATATTTATTTGTATTATTTATATTTATATTTAGTATAATTAACTATAGCAAGTTAAGCATAATAGTATTGTTATGAAGTGTGTATTATAAATTAGAATACTATTTCAAATATGTATGGTCTGTTGATAGGTTATAGGGTAATAGAAATTCAATGGTTTTCAAGATTTGAAGTACATAAAAATTTATAAGCTACATAGTTAACGTATTATTAGACATTCAAAACAAACATAACGTATTATTAGACTTTTTAGTGAATATTTGGGGGGAATAAATTTTATATCGCGTTATAAGGATTTTTCACTTTTTATTATTTAATTTTTTGAACTTTTGATTTTTTCTTAACAGGCCCAGTAAACAGGATTCAGAGCAGGTCAGGCTTTTAAACAGGTCAGGCTCAGACCGAAAAAACAGACCTTTAACAGGTACTAGGTCAGGCTCAGGCCTATAAATTCTAAAAAAAAGTTCGGTCTGAATTAGGGGTGGGTTCGGTTCAAACGGTTCGGTTTTCACCTAAAACTGTACCAAATGTAGAATCAAAGTAAAAAGTTCGGTTCGGTTTTATGTTCAAAAATTTGGAACCACGGTTTGTTCGGTTCGGTTTCAGTTTTTTTGGTTTTTATCAAAATATTTTTGTTGATTAGAAAAATAGTAATTGGAAAACAAAAGCAAAAAACAAACTATATCAAACTAGTATTAATAGTTACACAATACAATAACATACATAACTAAAAAAAAGAGGAGAAACAAATGCATTTCCAAGCAATGAATTAAGAGTATGTGTATACCAATTTAAACATTTTCTAAATTAATTAAATGTGTGAGTTTATTTGTGAATTATATACAGTGTATTCGCAAGTTAAAATTTTATTAGTAAATAATTTCAATTTTCTTTTTAGACAAAGATATTTATGCTCTAAAGTTTCTCATTTTTTGCTATATTGTTTAAAGTATAGTTTATATTAATACATATTTGTTCAATATGAAAAACTACTCCGTATGTGATAACAAACATATATACATAACATATAATATATCAATAAAATGTCATTGTCATGCAGAGCCGGCCATGAGGCCATTTCACCTAGGCACTTGCCTAGGGCCTCACTTTTTATTGGGGCCTCAAAAACAAAAATTAGTTAAGCTATTATGGAGTAAGTTTTAAATTTAGTTGTTCGAAATTGGTTCTGGAGTTTGACGAAGAACTCTTTGGTCAAACCTAAACTTTTTCACCTTATTTAATGAATTGATAGTGCGGTCTGCGTTTGAGGCTTACTGTCCACTAGCCACATATGGAGTATTATCTTTTATCATTATATGCTCCTTTTTTATTGAACTGAAAACATTTTTTGAAAGTTTTTGGTTAATAACTTAAAAAATAATTGCAATTGGGCGTTTAGTTAGTTAGCCACTACGGAGTAATATTTTATAATTGCAATTGGAGTTGTTATTTTTTTAATTTTTGTTAATGGTTTTTCTATTAATTATTATCTTTTTCTTTTTCTTTTTTAATTATTATCTATAAATATGCTAAATATGCAGGAATTATCATGACGGGTGAACCGGTAAAGAAAATTTCTCATTAATATGTAAAGAGAAACAATAAGTTGAAAAGAGATGTGGTTATTAAATTGCTTACCGACTCTATTGATCGATTGTATAGACAAATTTTTCTTCCTCAAAATTGTTGGCAATGACAATGCGGATGTTGAATTACTATTTTATCTTATTTTTATGAGTATGTGTTATATAAATCACATTAATATGATAAGTGTCAAAATAAGTGGCACACTTTATTTTTTGGATTGTATTAATATTAAAATAAGTGTCAAACTTCTATTTTTGGAAAAAAAATCATCCCAAAAGCCTTTTTAATAAAAGAAAACAATACAACTAGTCAACTACAGTACCTAAAAACTCGTAACTTTAAATTATGGAAAAAACATACTCGGTCACATATTATCATACGGAGGTGGTACTAAACGTTTTTCGCCTCGGGCCTCCAAACCACTAGAGCCGGCCCTGTTGTCATGTAACCAGGGGCGGAGCTAGGGGGTGCCCAGGCTAGGCCCTAGCCCACCCCAAATTTGAAAAATGTCAATATTTTTAGTGTAAAAAATTTCGTGTAAAAGTTTTTCCAATAATATTCTTTGTACCGGCCCAGTCTAGCCCAGTGTCCTGGCTACGCCCCTGCATGTAACAACAAGCAAAATGTAAATTACGATTTAAAATATCAACATATTAGTATTATAGCAATAGACTTAATTGTATGTACAAGTGTTTCACTTAATTAAACCATAAATATTAAATGTCAATATCTTGCAAATCATAATAAATCAATTATCAAACATAACATTAATTTTCTAGAATTAAGAATTTAAAACTAAACAAAATATTATACTTAATGATTAATAAATAAAATAACTAGTTTTAAAAAGTTCGGTTTATTCGGTTCGATTCGGTTTTGAGATGTGAAAACCAAAACTGAACCAAACAACTACGGTTCGGTTCGGTTTTTTAGTTCGGTTTCGGTTTCCTTGCGGTTCGGTTGTTTTGGTTGCGGTTTGGATTTTTTCGACTCAATTTTCGGTTTTGGGTTTTCGGTTTCTCCTACTCACCTGGTCTGTAATGTTTAGGCAAAGGAGTCGCGGGACGAAATTTGTATGCTAATCGAGGGGTCAATACGGAATTAGCAGTGAGATGTCAATACGAAATTTCATAAAAACGGTATAATGATCCGAAGAGGGTTTTAGAATTTTAGCTGTGAGAAGTCACTCAAGTCAGAAAACACCGAGTGAGGAAGAAGGCGAGAATGGAGGGAGTATCGAACCAGAGATTCCCGAAGATTAAAATCCGGGAAGTGAAGGACGACTACATGAAGTTTGAGCTTCGCGACACTGATGCCAGCATAGCCAACGCGCTTCGGCGCGTAATGATCGCCGAGGTTCCCACCATCGCCATTGACCTCGTTGAAATCGAGTGCAACTCCACGGTCCTCAACGACGAGTTCCTTGCCCACCGTCTTGGCCTCATTCCTCTCACCAGCGAGCGGGCAATGAGCATGCGCTTCTCGCGCGATTGTGACGCCTGCGACGGAGACGGCCAGTGCGAGTTTTGCTCAGTCGAGTTCTACCTCCGTGTGAAGTGCCTTGGTGACCAAACCCTAGACGTTACCAGCAAGGACCTTCTGAGCTCTGACCACACTGTCCAACCCGTTGATTACTCAGATTCTACTTCCCCTAATCCGGAATCTAAGTAAGTCTCTTCTCTCCCGGGAATGAGTGCACTAATCTGTTCGATTTTCTTTCATAAATTACTATTTTGTGATGATGCTAGGATCTCAATTTTAGTGTTGATCTGAACTTTGTATTATTCTTGTACATTGGTGCTGTGCTGTTGGTGAGAAGTACACAATTTTCTGCTTTAGTAGGATTTGTGAAGCCATGAATGGATATTCCTGAGTTCAATTAGGTCGTATTGATTGGTGACTGTTTTAAGCTAGTTCAGTTGTCAATGAGGGTAAAAGACCTAATTCCATTAGGGATAGGATCAGACAATCAGTAATAAGTTTTTTATTTTGGAAAATTAAATGGATTCAAACACAAGATAGTGGAAACAACCTTGTTGTTGCTGATAAAATTCGATGTACAAAAGCTAGCTGTAAGATGGAGAGGAAAAAGTGACTAAAATTTGAAATTTTTCATAAACAAATAGGTTTATGCGGTCTCAATGTGATTACAATCTCAAAGCAAAACACAATTTTTGAAAAACAGGTTCTAATGAGTGATCAAGTGAGTCAGTACTTTGTTAAGAGTATAAGACTGAAGTTCATGTATGAGGGCAATGCTTTTGGCATCTTGCTACAAGATAGAAAAGAAACAAATCCAGGATCTGGAGCATCTTAATTTTTGACTAGAACATATTGAAATGTGATGGAAGTTTAGGGTTTTAAATTTTTATATGTAAACCGAAAAATAAGTGATTTTGAAGCACTGTTTCACATTCTAATTCTATGTGAATGCACTGCAGTAGCCATAACACTGAGAGGTTAGAAGAGGTAAACTACGTAAGAGTTTCAAATCTTTACAACTTCTATCAATTTATATTTCTTAAAATTAGTCAGGTTTCAACTTTCAGTAGGGTGAAACTTTTATGTTTACTCAACTTAGAAATTTCATTGATATAACGGTGACAAGAAAAATACAACTTTTTTATGAGAAGTTTCATCCATATAAAGTTGTCTAGACTAAAGTTAAAGTAGGAGGGTAATACTTCTGCTACTAGTTCACAAAAGGATCATTCTCAGGCTTGGGAGCATATTAAATGTTTGTACAATACAATTGGAAGTTTGGTGGATGTCTAGGGGTTTTATAGGGATTCTATATCACAGCACTAGAGGAGGATAGAGTACATAAGTATTATAAAGGTTAACAAATCCTATAAATTTGTACTTGCAATTATATTGTCATGGAAGAAAGTGTGTCATTAGTATTTTTCATGATATACGTTTACAGCTTATCTTAACCCCTAATCTTATGCATATCCAATGCCTCACTGTAGATGATAAAGAGTCATTCTATAGTTTCTATTAAGAGTAATAGCGCGTCAAATAGAATAGTTAGAAGGTGTTAACTACCATATATAACCCCGTGGATATATTAGAAGTGGTAGAGCCTGCCAGCTTGTCATGCATATATATTTCTTAATTGCTATCATATTTTAAATGGTAGGAAATATATTATGGTGAAGTAATCATCAGACGTGTAGAAATTCCCATAATATTCTGAAAAAGAAATTATCATAGGGGGATTATTATTGTTAAGCTACGACGTGGACAAGAGCTGAGGCTGAGAGCAATTGCACGGAAAGGAATTGGAAAAGATCATGCAAAGTGGTCACCTGCAGCAACAGTTACATTTATGTATGAGCCAGATATCTATATAAATGAAGACATGATGGACACTTTGACACTTGAGGAGAAAAGAAGCATTGTGGAAAGCAGCCCCACCAAAGTGTTTGACATTGACCCTGTTACCCAACAGGTTTTATATTATTAATTTTTAAATTAAATTTCATTCTTGTTACAACTGCTCGCATGGTATCTGACTGCATGAGTTTTTACATTTTTAGTTAAATTGCATTTTTTTTCTTTTGATATGGCGAAGTCTCAGATGCCTCAAAAAATTACTGGATGCATTTTCATAATAGAATTTATAAATTATCTAACCGTACCGATGTACGGAACTTGTTTACTTGAGAAATTTTGAAACAAAGCAAACACAGAATTTTGGTAAACAGATGTAAAACTAAAAACCAGAATCATTACCAAATGAACGCTGAGGTTTAAATTTTAACGTGAACTCGCAGATTGTTGTGGTTGATGCGGAAGCATATACATATGATGAGGAGGTGCTTAAGAAAATTGCATCTATGGACAAACCTGGGCTTATAGAAATCAATCCCAGGGAAGATAGCTTCATATTCACAGTCGAATCAACAGGTGCAATCAAAGCTTCTCAGTTAGTGCTCAATGCGATCGAGGTTTTGAAGCAGAAGTTGGATGCAGTCCGCTTATCTGAGGATACAGTCGAAGCAGATGACCAATTTGGAGAGTTGGGTGCGCATCTGCGAGGCGGGTAATCACAGACTGCCCTTGCGACCTTAACTTTTAATTTACTCCGTATTTCTTAAGCGTATCAGGGATGTGGAACTGGTAACTTCTTCATTGCAAGAAAAGGATTGATGACCTGTGTGTTTTTAACCCCTCTCTTGAAGAATATATGTTACATTCCAAGTACAAGTTAAGTTATCATTGATTTGGGGGGGGGGGGGGGGTGTGCAGGGTGTTTGCAGCTAAAAGCCTAAAATGCTCTTGGAGGTTGTTTGCTTGTTTCAATTAAGTAATTAACTCATGTTTAGATCAAGATGACTATCTATATTAAAAATATACGGAGTATGTATTATTTACTTCGTGTGCTGCATACAGCATGATTTAGGCCTGGTCCGGGCCGGTTCTGATCCCGGACCAACCGGTCTTTGAAAAAATATATTGAGAACCGGGACTGGGACCTATATTTCCGGTTCCCAGCTGGTCCCGGTTCTGGACTTCTGGTCCAGTCTTATTTTTTTGTTTTTTTTTTTCTTAACACACTTTTTAAACTCTCTCTACCCCCATCTACACCTCCTTTAAGCTTTTAAATGGACCTTCAACCTTTATGAAGAGCCCGTTTGGTAGCACCAAAATCGGCTGATTCTGCTGAAATTTATGAAGTTCTGGCTGGAGTGGCTGTTTTGACTGATTCTGCTGATTTAAGAAACAAATATTTTAAAAATATATTTTATTGATAAAATAAAGAAAAAATTATATGTAAAAATAGCTAAAATGGTCATCTACAGTAACTTCAGCCAATACAGCCAGAAAAGTAACTTCAACCTTACTTTTTCTGCTTATTACACAATTCAGCGTGCGAAAATAAAAGTTACGTGTTTGGTGATAAAATTGGCTGATAAGCCTGATAAGCCGAAAAAAGAGGTGTCCAAACGGGCTCGAAATGTTTTGCAATGGTTTAATATCAAAAATACAAAAAAATAATATTGAAACCAGTCCCGATCTCAAAGATTGGGATCTCTTTCTCACCGGTCCAGGACCGGAACTCTATTTGGAGTTAACTTCACTGTTTTTTTATGTTACTGGTAGACTTAAGTTATTATTGTATTTAGTCATGATTTATTTTTATTCATATACGGAGTACGGGAGTAGTTCATGTTAATGATATGGCATCGTCAACAAGATTTTGAAAGTCCTTCAAGTGAAAGTGAATTGAACTTGCCAAGAAATTGATTCATGAGTCCCTGAAGTTTATTCTCTTGACATTCAAAATAGTTCAAATGTTCCATTGATTGTTTCTACATCTATATCGCTTACTGCAGTGAAATGCTCCCTTGGCTCAACATCTTGTAGATTTATACTCCGTGATCGAAAAGAGTGGCATTATGTAATAATCAAAGAAAAAATTGCATGATAAATAGTTAAAATGATGATTTACAGGAATTCCAGACGCAAAAGTAACACCAACCTAGATTATTTTGATTATTTCTTGATTTAGTCGCAAAGTCAAATACTACGTGTAGGCATGGAGCCGGGCCGGGCCTAGGCTCGGTCGGGCCTTTTGTGGTTGGGAGAAGGCCTGGGACTGGCCCGGGTTGCCAGCGGGTCCGAGTCCGGGCTGGGCCTCGGGCCAGATTTTTTTTTTTTTTTTTTTTTTCCTTTTCTACTTAACCCCCCCCCCCCCCCACCCCCCACCCCACTCCCCCAAATGGCCCAAAATACCCAGCCCAACCCGGAAAGTTAAAAAAAAAAATTAAAAAAAAGAAGAATAAAGTCCGGCACCGGCCGGGCCGGACCGGTTCCATATATCCCAGACCTGTACCCGTCCCGGTTACCCCCCTAAACCGGGCCTAGACCCATAACCGGTTCCCAGGTCGGGCCTGCACAGTACCGGGCTGGGTGGCCCGAACTGGGTCCAAGCCTAACTACGTGTTTGATAAAAAATTGACTGATAAGACTGAAGTTGGTGACGTTGATGACGGAGTTACCAAACACATGAGATTTTGTGGAACTATCTTATCATACTATCGTATTAGATACTCATGTTGTAAAACGGTATCAGTCAATTTAGACTTTAATTTAATTATTTATTAGGGATACATGATTTAGATAGGGAAGGGTCTAAGATTTTGAGTTAGGTAGGGCGAAATTTTTTCCGCTGGTAAAGTGGAGGAGGAATGATTTTACGCTAGTTGTAGGGCTTTGCGGCTATTTTGGGAGATTTTCCAAAATGGAGTAAATACAATTTGGAATTCCATAATAGGATTACTATGTTTTTATTCTCGAAATAGGACTGACATGACAGTATTTACTTTCATCTTGTTTGCGTGATTGTCAAATAGTTGCAGTACAGTGCATTTAACATGCATTATTTATAACCAAGCATTCCAGCCCAGCTGGTTGTGAGGTTACCGTGCCTAGTGGGAAGTCTCGAGTTCGGATCCCGCTAGGCACACAAGGGTTGAAAACTCAATGGATTGAGTTTCAGCCCTGATTACTCCAGGCTCCCCCCAGATCCCCCCTGGAGTAGAAAAAAACATGCATTATTTATTATACTCCGTAATTAGTAGCAGTATTTATCAATCATGACAGTATTTTTCATACATGGCAGTAACAACTCATATTCCGAGAAGAAGAAGAAAAGTAGTCAAAATTTGGAATTCCGACCCTCATTTACTCATATTTAGGGCAATTTACCGGTTATCTTTTGTTCAAAAAAAATCCATTAGTACATACATGATATTTAAATCAATTAGGAGTACTTTCTAAGTTTGCACAATGGAAAAAATAACTTTGATTTTATAATTGAATTTTCCTAGAAAAACAGTATTGGTATATTAAAGTGTAAGAAATGATAAGTCAGGGCATCCACATCCATAGATTATTTTTGGGATCATTTTGATGATGTGGAGGATTTTTTTTTGGGATCATGGATGACGAGTTGAGATTATTTTATGAGATTATTTTATGAGATTATTTATTAAAATAATCTGGTATCAAATTCTAAAGCTGGATTATTTTGAGATTATTTCCAACTTCTAGGCATGTACTCATAATTATGGTGATAACTAGTTTTGTAGTTCGTGCATGTTCATGCTCATATCTAAGATAAATTAAGATCATGAATGGGGAAAAATTTATTGGTTTGGAGATTATTTGAGATTATCTTATGTGGAGGTGACATGACAATAATAGACCATAAAAAACCGTAAAGGTGAAGATCATCAATGTGGGTGCTCTCAAAGGAAAATAAAAAGGATAAAATTTTATCCAATTATTTGAAGATAAAGAGTTTATAATGTACACATTAACCAAAACTTTTAAATATATAAATTGTTTAAATATAAAATTGGTCTTTCGATTACACTTTTATTTACCAAGATTGTTCGTAAGTCACGAGAAGTTTTCTTAATATTCCAATAGTATGTATGAGCTTATTTATTTTTAGAATTATATTATGTTGCTAATTCATATAGATGGTGCATTTTATATTTGTATTAATGCTAAAATAGGTTAAGTATTGGTGCAATTGTTTTTAGAAAGTAAGAAGTAATTGATTTGTGTAATTGCTAAAATATGTTCTACATTAACTTCGGTCAATCCAGTTAGAAAAATAACATCAACCTTAACAACTTAACATTTAAAGGTGTGTCTACACATTTTGGATTCATTTTACATTATTTGAAAACTGTTTAACTAGTTTGTATAGTATTTAATATTGTTTGGTATTTTACACAATCGAATACAAATTATCTAATAAAGCTAATTAAACATTAGAAAACTAGGAATTTTTATATCATTAGTACTAGTACCCTAAGTCTTTAACCAATGAGTTGTTCTATTGTTTATTCATTCAGTAATGATAAATTATTTAGATAATTCTCTTTTTAAATCTCCTATTAAATATTATATTGTGTAACGCTATATATTAATTTTGAAAACTAAAAATTAGGGGGGGGGGGGGGGGCGACCACATATATATCTAATTAAAGAATGAAAATTATATGAAATACTATATATAAAATATAAAATTTTGGAAATCCAAGGGGGCATCCCCCTCTCCCCCGCCTGCCCCGCCCCCCTAAAGAAAAATTATATTACGTATGAGAAAAAGGTAAAATAATATTCTACATTAACTTTGGTAAATCCAGCTAGAAAAGTAATATCAATCTTAACAACCTTAGCATTTAAAGGTGTATCTACAGTTCTACACTATCTAGTGCCACTAATGGGCACTCTAAGACTCTGTTTGCAAGCCCTTAATTTAAGTGCTTGTGACTTTTTTTAAAAGAAAATAGCACTTATTTTACCAAACACTATCAACTTTTACTTTCTCGGCTTTCGTGTAGAATCTACTTTTTACTTTTTCTATTACACAAAAAACACTTATTTTATCAAACACTCAACTTTTATTACTAATCACTTTTTCCCAAAAAGTGATTTTATTTAAACACAAACACTTGCAAACAAAACCTAAGAGCATCAACTATCAGTTCCATTCACAAAAAAATAAAAATACTACATATAGAAGTTGAAAACATAAGGAACTATTCATTTTCATTTTCATTTACCCCAGTGTCGCAAAGGCTCTCACCTACGGTGGGGTAAGGGGGATCGGATGTACGCAGTCTTATCCGTGTACTAAAGCACAGAGAGACTGTTTCCGGATGACCCATAGTGAAAATCGCGTCCGGAATTGCATAGACTGACTGCTGCTTCATGACAAAGAAGCGCAGTCAGTTTAGTGAGTCATTTTGCTTTATTCCATCATATTCTCAAGCCAAAAAATAATGAATCTTTGGTTCCATTGCAAATGATGGAAACATATGAAAAACTAATGGGTTATACGTAGTAAGGAGTAAAAACTAAAAAAACAGGCCTGAACGTTTTAGCTGAGCTATCAGCACTCCTTATTTCCCTCTCCTCTTTTGATTATTTTCTTTGTTTTGATTCTTTTCCAAAAGGAAGAAGACTTAAATGTGTTGTCTTAATCTCTATCCTATCTTTCATATCATATTCTATGATATGATTCTCTTTAAATTTCTTTTTCATTGTCCAAAATTTCGTGGGGTAAATGGAATATTGGTTTCTTTGACAATAAAAACCTCCTTTAACTGTCAGCCGTGTATCTTGGTTGGTGTGTAAAAAGAGATGGGACCATTCAAAAAGATAACTAAAAAAGATAATCTCTGGGTTAGGTGGATTCATGGTGTCTACCTTAACGGTAGAGGTGTTTGGGAGTTCACACCTCACAAAAGAAACTCCCAACTGATAAAAAAGATTGCTCTGATTAGAGATCAAATTGTCTCTCACTTTGACAACACCCACGATGCCATTAGTTTTCTTAATACTTGCCAAACAAATGGCAAGCTATCCTCGGG